GGCACCGTCAGACGGGGCACACTCCCGTGACACGGTGCTTTTGCACTGTGCGCGGTAATTCCAGTTTTTTACCCGTTTTTATAATCATCATAACTTTTGATCCATAACTCGGAAAAAGGCATATAATATATTCTTGGAAAGCTTATTAAGTCTACTTTCCAACCCAATTAGAATCAGTTAAAAATTATATTTATAGTTTAATATATGGCCGTTTTAGTGGAAGGGTGTTGGTTTTGGGTCGAGTTTAGTGTTTTGCTCATATCTTTTTCGTTATAGCTTATTTCAAGGCCTATACAACATAATAATAATTGGATCAAAAATATACATCTATAAGATCAGTTTCTCTCAGTTTTGCAATGTGGACACTAAAAGTGGAAAATAGGTTATGGTTTAGGGAAATGAGCTAGAAATTGGATTGGTTCATGAAATATATTGGATAGAACATTGGTTTAAGCACTCCAAAGATTAAATACTCAAACCGAATAATAATGGCGGTGAAAGGTACAAATAACCGACGGTTTGGACCAAATCAACTCTATTTTTTATTTAATTTAATTTAATTTTTATTTGCTTTATATTTTTTTTATTGAAGTTACTAACAGTTTATTCATGATGTAGCAATTTAAAGGAACGTGTAGAATGTGAGTAATCAATCACTTAATTACTCTTATTTTATTTTAATATTGCTAGTATCATGATTAGGTTAGTTTTTTATTTGATTTGACTAACGTTATTATTGTTAAATTGCTTCCAATATTAATGCTTATTCTATTATATTTATGATCACCATTTCGCATGTTTAAAGGGAATATGTAATTGAAAATCACGACTAATAAGATAATTTGGACAACCGATTTAGGATCCTTTTAATCTTGTTATTTTGTAGGCGTCGTTCGAAGTGCGCCTACGTTAAAGCATGTGTTGATATGCTTGGCACTCATAGGAAGTGGGAATTAACATATACGATTAGGGACAAATAAACTAGGGAGCCGCCAACAAGTTTTTAAGGAACTTGTAAACCGTTCACGGATCATAAAAGGCAACCATGATAAAGGGACAACGATAGGCAACAACGATTGACCCTTGAAGGTTACACCCCATTCATAATCCATGAGATTCCTAAATCCATATTGTTCGAAACCACGAAAGGAGGATCGGGGATGATGGTACGAAGTGAGTCATGGAGTCACATTCGCCCGTATTGGCCTCTACTCGATTCTTATAGTGGAAAGTGATTCCTGCGATCTGAAAGGCATACAAACAAAATATTCAATTCGCTCCAAACTATTATTAATCTAAACTGGTTGAATATTAATGCAACATATAATTCTAAAATATTAGTGATCACTTGATTTAACAACAAGATTAAAAAGGATCCTAAACCGATTGTCCAAATTATCTTATTTAGCGTGATTTTCAGTTATCTATGTTCCCTTTAAACATGAAAAATGGTGATCATAATATAATAGAATAAATATTAATATTGGAAGAAATTTAACAATAATAACGTTAGTCAAATTAAATTAAAAATTAACCTAATCATGATACTAGCAATATTAAAATAAAATAAGAGTAATTAAGTGATTAATTACTCACATTCTGCGCGTTCCTTTGAATTGCTATATCATGAATAAACTGTTAGTAACTTCAATAAAAAATATAAACCAAATGAAAATTAAATTAAATTAAATTAAAAGTAGAGTTGATTTGGTCCAAACCCTCAGTTATTTGTACCTTTCATGCCTTGGTTTAAGGACGGAACCTCGGGTTAAGTATGAACTCCTTGGAGTGCTTAAGGGAAGTATGATGTAATTAGGAATATAAGTTTAAGGCTTAGAATATGAGAGAGAGAAGAGAATTATTTTTAGTGTAAAAGAGAGGAAGAGAGAATGATTTGATGCCTCGAACTGCAGAAAGGGGGGTCCTATTTATAGGGAAAATGAGCAGAGGGAACACGCGTAACCCTAAAAAGATAAAAACCCTAAATAATAAAACCGCGACACAGCATAGCACAATGTGACACGGTGCCAGGCACCGTCATACGGAGACAAACCCAGGAAAGGATTGTGAGGGAAATCTAGTGACCTGTCGCTATTGCCAAAAGCTAGGCCACTGTGAGTATGAGTGCTACAAGAAATTTTCAGATAAGCAGTCGGGTAAACCCCAAGATGAGAAGAACCAACCCAAGCCAACTCAGCCAGTGGATTCATACCCAAGCCTACACCCAACAACAGTGGAGCCACTCCCAAGGGTCGTGTGTTCGTGATGAACAGCCGTGAGGCTGCAACTGGTTCTGATGTGGTAATTGACAATTTCTTTATCTGTTCTATGTCTAATAAAGTCTTGTTTGATTTAGGGGCGTCTTACTCTTTTATTTCTAGAACTTTAGTAGATAGACTCAAGTTAGAGAGTCTGGTGTCTGTTTCGTTAGATATTGCTATCCCGTCAGGGGAAGTAATGAGTTGTACTAAGATGCATCACGGTGTACCGCTTGTCATTTTAAAAGTAGAATTTCTGTCAGACTTAATCGAGCTTGACTTACAAGACCTCGATGTTATTTTGAGGATGGATTGGTTGGGAAAGTACAAGGCCCAAATTGATTGCGAGGCCCAAAAAGTCACGTTGTGTGGCCTGGGCAAAGTTAGGGTAACCTATCGAAGGGAAGGGAAGGGAAGAAATCAGGGTTAAAGATCAAATCTGCTTTGCAACTTAAGAAGTTTATAGCAAAAGGACATCCACTGTATTTGTGTAGTGTCCAAAGGATAGGAGAAAGAGATAGAGATGATGGGAAAAATATTCCAGTAGTAAATGAATTTCTTGACGTTTTCCCCGAAGAAATTCCAGGGATGCCACCTGTGAGGGATGTTGAGTTCACTATAGACTTAGTGTTGGGGACATGACCTATTTCAAAGGCTCCATATAGGATGGCCCCGGCTGAGATGAAAGAGTTAAAGACTCAATTAGACGACTTGCTGGAGAAAGGATACATTCGACCGAGTTCATCACCATTGGGTGCACTGGTGTTATTCGTAAAAAAGAAGGATGGAAGCTTGAGGATATGTATAGATTACCGAGATTTGAATAATGTGATAATGAAAAATAAGTACCCGCTACTTAGGATTGATGATTTATTTGACCAGTTAAAAGGGGCGGGAATATTTTCGAAGATCGATTTGAGGTTAGGGTATCATCAGTTGAGGATAGAAGAGTCGGACATTGCAAAAAGAGCTTTTAGAAATCATTATGGTCATTATGAATTCACTGTAATGCCATTTGAGCTAACATAGGATGAATTAATGCAATTGAGATAACATAGGGTGAATTAATAAACTTAACTATGAAAGTACACTACAACAAACTTAACTATGTTATTTAATTAATTCATCCTATGTTATCCGTTGACTATTTGTTCGAAAATTGCAATTCATCAGTTTTTTCTAGAAATTTGCTATTTTTTCCAACTTTTGCAATTTTCTCGATTTTTTTTCCCTAGTTTCTTAAATTTCGACTTCAATTTTTTTGATTTTGTTCTTTTCTTTTTTGATCTTGTTCGTTTTTTTTTTATTTTAGATTTCATCTGCTCGTTTATTATGGGTTTTGTTTTATTTCTAAATTTTTTGTTTGTGATTGATTTTCCGGGTGATATTATGCTTAAGATTCTGTATTTTCACATTTTGATTAAGTCTGATGTTATATATTTTTGTAGAATTATGTCATTTTGTCAATTTTCATTTAACTTGAATAATGCACATGTCTACCTTGGTTAGTTTCATTAATAGACTAGTGATAAGTGACTTTTATGTCATTTCTAGGGTGTTTATTGAGTCATTTTCCGGCTTATTTTCCAATAATTTAGCTCATTCTGTTCTTTATTTCTATTATTTGCTTATTCTCATCTCTTATCTTTATTTTATGTATTTTAGTAGTTGTTTTTATAGTTTTTAGCTTATTTTCTTAATTTATTTAATTTCTCTTATTTTCTATGTTTATATTTAAAGTTTTTAGTTCTTGTTATATAATAAGTTCCTAGTTTCTCACATTTTCTTATTTGTTTTAATTTAGTCATTTATTTTGTTTTACTCATTTTATTTTATTTTTACTTCGTTTAATTTTATTATATTTTGTTCTATCCTCGTGTCGGTTTTTGGTTGTAGGTGTGTTCGGGTTACTTAGTTCTATTTTATTTTAATTTGATGAGCGACATTTATGTCACCCTTAGGGAGTAGTTTTAGTGTCATTTTCGTGTTTATTTTCCCTTATTTTCCCTTTTATTCTCTTATTTTCTTTTTAATAAAGTTTCTAGTTTATTTCTTAGTTTTAGTATGTTTTAATTTAATTTCTTTATTTAATTAATTTCTAGTTTATTTCTTAGTTTTAGTATGTTTTAATTTAATTTCTTTAATTAATTAATTTCTAGTTTATTTTCATATTTTATTTATTTTCGATTTATTTTATTTCGTTCCTTTTCTTTGTTACTTTCATAGTTTTAATTAGTTTTAAGTTTATTTTATTTACTTGTATAATATTATGTCTTTGTTAGTTTTAGTTTTATTTCTCTTATTTGTATTTGAGGCCCAAGAATATGTTTTATACTCTATCACTCCCCCTCACATGAAATGCCCTTTGGGCTTGAAATGTGGATGCAACACATGCCCACCCATACCTGGTGCGAATTAATTCCACTTTGAAGGAGGGGCGGATGAGATTCAAACCCGTGACCTTTGTGTCACGCTGGCTCTGATACCATGATAGAGGACCAACTCAACCAAAAGCTTAAGCTGATGGTTGAGGCCTTGGAATATGTTTTATACTCTATCATAGAGTATAAAACATATTCCTGGGCCTCAACCATCAGCTTAAGCTTTTGGTTGAGTTGGTCCTTTATCATGGTATCAGTTAGCTAGGGTTATCTTTCTCTCTTCCGCTCAACCCTACCTCTGTTAATCCGCCCAACATCTCTCTGTTTTCCGTCATCCTTTCTCTTCTCCGGCAACCTCACGATGTCGGACAAACCTACCTTTCATCCCGCCTTCACTGTCTCCAATATTAAGACTAGCATTCCCATTGTTCTTGAGATGGAGAATGTTCAATATTCAACTTGGGCGGAACTTTTTAAGGTTCACGCATAATCTCACAAAGTACTTGATCATATCATCGCTCTGGCCAAGGGCAAGGAGAAGCCTCCTCCCTCCACGGATGCAGCGCTCGAACTGTGGTCGACTTTGGACGCCACAGTTCTCTCGTGGATATACTCTACCATTTCTAATGATCTCTTGCAAACCATTATTGAACCCGATGCTACGGCTATGGAAGCTTGGAATAGATTGCGTGACATATTTCAAGACAATGAACATTCCCGCGCCGTCGCTCTTGAACATGAGTTTTCTACCATATCCATGGAAGATTTCCCTAACGTATCTTCCTACTGTCAACGTCTCAAGTCCTTGGCCGATCAGTTGAAAAATGTGGGCGCTCCTGTGTCGGATAATAGGATGGTTTTGCAATTAGTCGGAGGCCTTACGAAGGCATATAGTGGTGTTGGGACGTTAATCCGGTAGAGCAACCCACTTCCACCCTTCTATAAAGCTAGGTCGATGCTTACCCTAGAGGAGGCAGGTATGGCCAAGGATGCACCCACGAAGTCGGTAATGATGGTCTCTGAACCATCACAATCTTCTGAAAATTCTAGAGGTTCGAAGGGGAAAAACACTGGTGGTAGGCGCAACACCGGTGGCCGAAGAAATTCTGGTGGCCAGAGTGGCGGTGGACGCGGTGCAGGTGGGGGGAACAAACCTGGAAAGCAGCAGCAGTCCGACAGTCGCGGTTCCACTCACGAGGCAGCAGCTTCGACTTCAAACTCCTCCCCTCAATTTTGGCAGGCTCAATTCGCCATGGGGGTGGATGAATGGGGCTTGGCCCATTCCTCCTTGTCCTTTTCCAAATCAAGGATGGGCCAGGCCGATGCAGCAAAGGGGTTATGCTCCTGGGATTTTGGGTCTGAGGCCACAATCTCAACAACAGACGTATGCGACTTCGCAATTTGGGCAGTCCAACTCATCTCCACCAACTGATCTCGAGGCTGCTATGCACACTATGTCTCTTGCTCAACCGAACCCGTCATGGTACATGGATACTGGTTCAACCTCGCATATGACATCCTCTTTTGGTAATTTCTCGTCTTATTTTAATTTGAGCAATCATCCTAATAATGGCATTGTTGTTGGTAATGGTCAATCTATTCCTATTGTTGGCTATGGTAATTCTAGTTTACCCACTCCTAACCCTCCCCTTTCTCTAAATAAAGTACTCCATGCCCCTAAACTGATAAAAAATCTCATCTCTGTTCGTAAGTTTACTTGTGACAATTATGTGTCTGTCGAATTTGATCCCTTTGGGTTTTCTGTGAAGGATTTGAGGAAGGGGATGCCAATAATGCGATGTAATAGTCAAGGAGATCTTTACCCTCTCACCACTTCTCTCAACAATCAAGCTATTTCTTCCACTTTTGCAGCCATTTCTCCTAAACTTTGGCATGATGGGTTGGGACATCCGGGAGCTCCTATCTTAAATACTCTTAAGAAAAATAATAGCATTGATTGTAGTGGTTGTTCTAGTTCTAGTATTTGTGGTTCTTGTGTTCTTGAAAAACATATTAAATTGCCATTTGTTTCTTCTTTGTTTAGTACTTCTATGCCTTTTGACATTATTCATAGTGATCTTTGGACATCTCCTATTTTGAGCTCTATGGGACATAAGTATTATGTATTGATTTTGGATGATTTTTCTAAATTTTTACGGACTTTTCCGTTAGCTCGAAAATCTGATGTGTTTGATGTGTTCATGATTTTTAAAACACATATCCTCACCAAATTTGAGCGACATATAAAAAATGTTCAATGTGATAATGGTTGGGAGTTTGATAATAATACTTTTTGGGATTTTTGTAAAGTCAATGGGATGTCTTTTCGATTATCTTGTCCTCATACATCTTCTCAAAATGGGAAAGCTGAAAGAAAAATTCGATCCATCAATAATGTCACTCGTACTTTACTTGCTCATGCCTCTCTTCCCCCTTCTTTTTGGCATCATGCATTACAAATGGCAACATATCTCCTTAATATTATTCCAAGCACACTTTTGGGAAATAAATTTCCTCTCGAGGTCCTTTACCACAAGATTCCGTCATATTCTGACTTAAGAGTTTTCGGTTGTTTATGCTATCCCCTTCTACCTTCCACCACCAATAATAAATTACAACCACGGTCCTCTCCTTGTGTGTTTTTGGGTTATCCTCAAAACCATCGTGGCTATAAATGTTTAGATTTGTCTTCTAATAAAATCATAATATGTCGCCATGTTATTTTGGATGAGACGAAATTCCCTTTTGCAAATTTGTATGCCCCTTCTTCTACGGCATATGAATTCCTTGATGATGGCACTAATCCATACATTATCCATCACATGTCTGACCTAACAACTCAGCAGACCCAACCTCTTTCCCCTCCTCTATCACCACAGCCCGTATCCCCTATGGCCCAGCCAAATTAAGCTTAGCCAAACCGGGCTGCTTCACATACGGCCCAGCCGGATTCAGCTCAGTCACCTCCTGCTGGGCTGTCTCCTTCTGGCCCAAATCAGTCCCCTCCCCCTTCTCTTACGCCCACGACTCATCAGCCCAATCTAAACACTGGCCCACCTACGCCACCTCCCATCCGTATTCCTCTCCAACAGCCCAGAATTGTTACAAGGAGTCGTAATGGGATTTTTAAACCCAATCCCAAATACACTTCAAAATTCTTTGCATGCTTTTGTCACGATGCTCTTATTAAAATAAGACGTGGGAGTTGGTGCCCGTCCGCTTGATGTTAATGTTATTCGATCTATGTGGATTTTTACTTATAAGGTGAAATTTAACGGATCTTTTGAGAGGCATAAAGCCCGTCTTGTAGGTGATGGAAAAACACAACAGGTTGGCATTGTCCAAAGCCTGGCAAATTCATCAGCTTGATGTTAAGAATGCTTTTTTGCATGGTGAGCTTGCTGAGATTGTCTATATGCATCAACCTCTTCGTTTCCGTGATAAGAAACATCCTGATCATGTCTGTTTGTTGCGGAAATCTTTATTTGGTCTTAAACAGGCACCCAGGGCTTGGTATAAGCGATTTGCTGATTTTGTAACTTCTATTGGTTTTACTAATAGCAAGAGTGACAATTCTCTTTTTATTTATCGTGACGGATCGAATGTGGCTTTTTTATTGCTACATGTTGATGACATTATTCTTACAGCTTCCTCTAATGCTCTACTTCGTTCTATTATTTCTCTTCTTATCAAGGAATTTGCTATGAAGGACTTGGGTCTTCTAAATTATTTTCTTGGCATTGCTGTGGCAAGGCATAAGGGTGGACTATTTTTGTCACAACGTAAGTATGCTGCGGAAATTATTGAAAGGGCCGGGATGAGTTCGTGCAAATCTTCGGCCACCCCTGTTGAGGCAAAGCCGAAGGTCAGTGCTTCGGGATCCCCTTTTTCAGATCCCACCTTGTACCGTAGCCTTGCTGGGGCGCTACAATATCTTACTTTTACAAGGTCGAATATTTCTTATGTTGTGCAACATGTTTGCTTACATATGCATGATCCGAAAGAAACTCAGATGGCTGATCTAAAACGCATCGTTCGTTATGTCCAAGGTACTCTTGACCATTGTTTGCATCTTTATCCCTCATCCTTTTCTACACTTGTTTCATATACAGGTGCAGATTGGGGTGGGTGCCCCGATACGCGACGGTCCACATCTAGATATTGTGTGTTTTTGGGTGATAATTTGATATCGTGGTCCTCTAAACGACAAGCTACTCTCTCCAAGTCTAGTTGTGAAGCCGAGTACAGAGGTGTGGCTAATGTAGTTTCGGAGTCCTGTTGGCTTCGTAATTTGTTATTAGAGTTGCATTTCCCAATTAAAAAGGCAACCTTGGTTTATTGTGATAATGTGAGTGTTATTTATCTTCCGGGTAATCCAGTGCAACATCAGCGTACTAAGCATATTGAGATGGATATTCTTTTCGTCCGTGAAAAGGTGGCTAGAGGTGAGGTACGCGTTCTTCATGTTCCATCCAGGCACCAAATTGCAGACATCTTTACAAAAGAACTACCTCGGGTGTTATTTAAAGATTCCAGAGATAGTCTCAGTGTCCGTCCTCCTCCCGCTTCGACTAAGGGGGTGTGTTAAGATATATTAGGATTAATATATCTTTTACTCAGTATATATGTATATATTCGGTTTCCTATTTTGTAGCTTAGCATATATTTTGGTGTATAGCTATCCCTTGATTTATGGCTTAAGTTAAGCTTGTAATGTGTATATATTCACAACAATATTAATGGAAATCTCACGGAATATATTTCTATCATGGTTTCAGAGCCAGCGTGACACAAAGGTCACGGGTTCGAATCTCATTCACCCCCACTTTCAAGTGGAATATTAAGCGCAGGGTATGTGGAGGGCCCATGCTACATCCACACTTCTAGCCCAACGGGCTCTCGTGTGAGGGGGCATGATAGAGTATAAAACATATTCCTGGGCCTCAACGATCAGCTTAAACTTTTGGTTGAGTTGGTCCTTTAACACTAACCACCTGAACCACCAACACCCCGCAACATTCCCCCTATTTAATCCACCTCACGAAACCAGCCATGCCTCCCCTGTTCCAATTCAAACAACAACCCTTCACCCACAATCAACCACCAAACTCCAACCCAATTACCAATCACTTTCAGCCACACAACTTAACCAACATCAACCCCTTCACCACCGTCAATAACCACCAACCAACCCGCATTTCAATTGCTCCCTCACAGCCGCAATTGAGGTGCCACCACAATGCACCTCTCCGCGCAACTATTGTAGCACCAGAACCACTGTCAGCCACCTCAAAGCCTGAATGAGAAGCCCACAAATTCACTCCAAATCAGCCCAAATTTTCATACCCTTCAGAGCAGGCGCTCTAAGGTTCGAATCGGCCGCTCCGTTGTGGGTCTTATCTTTGTCAATTCTCACGTGATTTGCACGTGAATGGAGGTGCTCATTAATATCGAACGGTTTGATTTCAAGCTTATTGATTGATGATGATGATGAGCGGTGATGATTGAAGATGAAAATGGTTGGTGATAATTGATGAAGAGGATCAAACGGTGGTGATGATGATTCAAGAGCAGCCAAATTGAAATAGATGAAGATGAGAAGGCTGACGGTTTGGGGGGAAAATCGATTTTATTTTATTTTTTTTTCTATTTTTCCTTTTCTTTTCTTTATTTTATTTTCTTTTCTTTTGGTTCTCTTTTTTTTTTCTTTTATTTAGCTAAGTAAAAATACCCATTTTTTGGGGGAATTAGAAAGGAGGCTTTTTTATTCTATTTTTCTTAATGAGTTTAGGAGAGCTTCTCTCTCTTATGGTTAGATTATTGCTCAATTTTCTTGCAAGATTCAACTTTGCTCAAGTTTAGGTTTCAATCAAGCAAGAATTCAAGTTTTCATCTTTCATTAATCCTTTCTTTAGTAAT